CAAACTTAAAGTAAATTAAGTCCTATTTATGTCGTTTTTCTTGGTGTTTATAAAGAAATGTTACAACTTTAGTTTTGTAAGGACACTGATCGCATTTGTGCCATTTATTAGCGTCCGTTTTTTCAAAATGGCATTTATTCATATGAGACGTTAAATAAGTCTTGAGTTTCGTCTTATGTGGACAATATTCGCACTCGTACCACGTGATTTTTTCTTCATTCAAATGTCTACAAATTATATGAGATTTTAATTGATGCAAAAGTTTTGCCTTAAATGGACACTCATTACACTGATGCCATTTAATCTCTTCTTCATTCAAGTGTAAGTTGGTTATGTGCTTTTTTAAACAATCTTTTCTTCTAGTTTTGAAAGAACATTTATCACACTTGTGCCATTTAACATCTTTACCATCTGAATAGATCTGATTTTTGTGGCGCTTACTTATATGAGTCTTTAAATAATAACTGCGTTTCGTTTTGTATGGACAATATTCGCACTGATATTGTTTGATGTCAAAATGAACATGTACATGCTGTATTAAATTGTTTTTTACTTTGGTTTTATACGAACACTTGGCACATTCGTACCACTTTGCTTCTTCTGAATGATTATAATCTTCGTGTTTCTTTAAATCTACTTTAAATTTACTTCTATATGGACATTTGTCACATTGGTGCCATTTAATTTCTTTGTCATCCACATGTAAAGCAATTACATGCTTTTGTAAATTCGGCCTCCACTTAGTTTTGTATGGGCAATATTTACATTCATAGCGCTTATTTTTGTTGAGCAGACATTCATTACACTCTTTTGACAAAGTTACCGTTTTAAATGAACACTTTTTACACTTCCACCATTCGGGATTTCGTTTCTTTAAATGTATCACATTCTCGTGGTGTCTTAAAGATCTTTTGTCCCTTGTTTTAAATTGGCACTGTTCGCATTCGTACCACGTAACATGTTTTACAATTGCGTGAGTCTTTAAATGACATTTATACCTAGTTTTGTATGGACACTCATCACATTGGTACCATTTACCTTCTTCTTCTTTCAAGTGTAAGTTATTTATGTGCCTAGCTAAATAGTTTTTTATTATGGTTTTGAACGGGCATTTTTCACATTTGTACCATTCAACATCTCGTTCGTCTAAGTGGTTTCGTTTTATGTGATTGCTTAAATTTCCTTTCCATCTCGTTTTAAATGGACACTTATCACACGCATATTGTTTGTTTAAATCATGTTTACTCATATGACATTTTAAAACAGATTTACTTTTAACTTTGTAGGGACATAGCGCACAGTAATACCAACGTATTCCGTCAATTTGCTTGAAATTGAAACTGTAAGTAGTATTTTCTTTTGAACAACTTACACTTGCTAGATTTTCTTTTTTTCCCGTGCATTCTGAAGTATGTTGAAGCCATGTCAACGACAGATTTGTTTTGAAATCACACTTTTCGCAAACGTAATTTCGTACACTGAAGTCCTGCAGTGATAAATCGTCTCCAGATTCGACTTTAACGCTGTGATTTTTATTAATGTGTTGTTTGAACAGAATCGTTAGTTCCGTTTTAAAATCGCAATCTTTACAATGATACTCTTCAATTTTTGCGTTTTCGCACGTATATTTTTCACGAGATAAACGGTGTCGTCGCACGTGGTTCACCATAAAGAAAAGCGATGTTGTATAATAGGGACACTGTCTGCAGTTGTGGACGTTTTTCCATGAAGATCTTCCCCATATTCGAAGAGATACGGAATACTCCAATGTTGACATTCTGGTTGCCTGAAACGTCTTGTTAGTATTACACTGGGGAAGCGAGTGGAACTTTAGTTACCAAAATATTCTTCCAGGACTTTGAAGTTTTTGAAACTTTAATCTTTAACCTAACATTTTCAAATTAAAAATATCGTTTCGATGGTGGTAGCGTCCGATAGTTCTCGTTTCAGCTAAAACACAGTAAATTTACAGTACATGTAATCATTTTCCGGCTTAAATAATTATAAATTATTATTTGTTTACATTTTATAGGTTAGGTTGGTTGAGGTATGGTTAAATAGAAAATATCCCTAGTTAGTAACTTCAGTTGGTATATATTGGCTACACTTGTTAACCGAGTGCCCTAGTTTTCATAAAATAACAATTTTATTAATAATATTATTCCAGAAACTACCCTTAATGGCTAGTTAACAATCTCGGCGTTTTTTTAATAATCTTCATTAACCAATTCGTTGTTAAATAACTACTATAACAATATTCATATTTTGGGTTCACATCTCCATAAACTTAAAAAACGATAGATCGCTGCGTACCGAAAAATCTACTGTGCCGAAAATGCATGAAGCTTGAGACATGGCCGACTAGTATAAAGATTATGGCCTGTCCAAGAGGTACCATACGTGTTGCCATCTATTAATAATTATACTTAATAATTTTGATAAATTTTAATTTGGTTTGACATTATGAGACTTCAAAACGTGTAATGGTGGTTTGTTTCGGTATGAATGCATTTGTGCCTTTCAAAAAATGTTAATAATTCTTTTGTCGTGTTTGAATTATTAATAGATGGCAGCACGTATGGTACCTCTTGGACAGGCCATAATCTATACTAGTCGGCCTTGGTTTGGGCATGGCCGACTAGACTAGTACAAAGATTATGGCCTGTCCAAGAGGTACGATACGTGTTGCCATCTATTAATAATTACACTTAATAAATTAGCAAAATTTTAATTTGAGTTGACATTATGGGACTTCAAAACGTGTAATGGTGGTTTGTTTGGGTATGAATGCTGTTAAGTTTGATGGATTATGAATAAGAGCAGCGGACAGTCGTTTTATAGTTTTATTAAATAAATAACAAGTGTGTTCTAGAGCGAGTATGATATTATGACCGTTAGGTCCAGAGATTGAATATAAAGACTATGTTAACCGCTTGAAGAGTGCTTGAAGAGTGAATGATGAATAGTGAATGATGTTCCCTGTGTTTCAAGGTGGTGGTGGCTCTGGCTCCCACCCTTACGGGTGGAGAGGGGTGAAACAGGTCCCCGCCAGAGGCACTAACAAATGCCTTTGTGCCTTTCAAAAGGTGTTAATAATTCTTTTGTCGATTTTGAATTATTAATAGATGGCAGCACGTATGGTACCTTTGGCATTCCTTTGGACAGGCCATAATCTTTATACTAGTCGGCCATGGTTTGGGTTATCTCAGCGTACTGTTTAAATATATTTTGTCGCACAAAATGCCCCTTAGCTAACTATGAAATTTACGTACAAAAGCATGTTATTGCTCTACATGTGGATGACAAAGAAATTAAATGGCACCAATGTGACAAATGTCCATACAGAAGTAAATTTAAAGTAGGTTTAAAGAAACACGTGTAAGCGGCAACCGTTTATGCTGACGCCAGTAGTTCCCCGACCTTCGAGATGGCGGTGATGACGTCACCGCCTTGGGCGACGCTGGAGGGGAACGAGAGGACGCCAGTACCACTTCGGACACAAGCTGTGCACGTTGTTAATCATTTATATTTTCAAATAAATTCGTAAAAGACTTTTCTGGCTTATACACGAAGATTATAATCATTCAAAAGAAGCAAAGTGGTACGAATGTGCCAAGTGTTCGTATAAAACCAAAGTAAAAAACAGTTTAATACAGCATGTACATGTTCATTTTGACATCAAACAATATCAGTGCGAATATTGTCCATTTAAAACGAAACAGAGTTATTATTTAAAGACTCATATAAGTAAGCTCCACAAAATTCAGATTTATTCAGATGGTAAAGATGTTAAATGGTACAAGTGTGAAAAATGTTCTTTCAAAACTAGAAGAAAATATTGTTTAAAAAAGCACATAACCAACTTACACTTGAATGAAGAAAACATCAAATGGCATCAGTGTAATGAGTGTCCATTTAAGGCTAAACTTTTGCATCAATTAAAATCTCATATAATTTGTAGACATTTGAATGAAGAAAAAATCAAGTGGTACGAATGCGAATATTGTCCACATAAGACGAAACTTAAGACCTATTTAACTTCCCATATGAATAAATGGCATTTTGAAAAAACGGACGCCAATAAATGGCACAAATGCGATCAGTGTGCTTACAAAACCAAAATTGTAACATTTCTTTATAAACACCAAGAAAAACGACATAAATAGGACTTAATTTACTTTAAGTTTGGTGTAGTTTTTTCATTAGAATTAAGAAAGAAACTAATTGTTTTATTTTCCACTTTAAATAAATATACTGCCTCATTAGGTCATGATTACACATTACATAAATATATGGATATATCAGGTAAATTATTTGTTTGAATCACCGTTCTGGGTGGGAGAACAGCCACAACCAGGAGCCCCAAACTCCGCTCGCGCCACAACGCCCCCTATGACATAGTTAGATCGCCACAATCTTATTGAGTTATGCTGTTGCTGTCGCTGATATTTAGATATTTACATTTATTCAGAATGTTTAATTTGATTTCAACACAACACAATGTAGGGTTCCATTTTGTTAGGCGATCACAGCCAAGGCCAAATTTTTGAATTTTTCGCGGGCTTCCAATTTTTTTTAACGTGACAATTTAACGCGGGATGTTTGGGTTATCACAGCGTACTCTTTAAATATATTTTGTCGTACAAAATGCCCCTTAGCTAACTATGAAATTTACGTAAAAGAATCAATTGTTAATAACTTCATAATTACCTTAAAAACAAGTTTACACAATGTGGTTAAAACTTTTGGTAAAATGTATAAGGCCGATTTGCAAATCGACCTGACATGGAAGTGATTTTACTCTGTTTTCATAGAAAAAAAAAAATTTATAGTGGCAGCGCCAAGTATCTAATTTTTTTATGAAATTGAGTTATTCATGCGAAAATATTTAGAATACGAAGGTGCATAATTATTTTCGTAGCAATAACTCAATGTCAGAAAAAGTACGCAGCGATCTATTTTCTTTTTAATTTTATAGATAGGTCGTGAAGTTACTAACTAGGGATGTTTTTCATTTGGCCGACATGCCTCAACCAACCTAACCTATTAAATGTGAATAAATAATCATTTTTGTAATTATTTAAGCCCGAAAATGATTACACGTACTATAAATTTACTGTGCTTTAGTTGAAACGCCAACAATCACGGTCTAATCAGCTCAAATTGTATTTTTCAAAAAATCGAAACGTCATTTTTCACGTGAAAAAGTTAGGTTAAAGATGAAAGTTTTATAACCTTTTTGCATGAGTCCTGGAAGGATATTTCAGTAATCAAATTTGCATTCCCTTCCCCAGTGTAATACTAATAAGACGTTTCAGGCAAGCAAAATGTCAACTTTGGAGTATTCCGAATCACTTCGAGAATGGGGAAGATCTTCCTGGAAAAACGTCCACAACTGTAAACTGTGTCCCTATTTTACAACATCGGTTTTCTTTATGGTGAACCACGTGCGACGTCACCGTTCATCTCTTGAAAAATATACGTGCGAAAACGCCAAAATCGAAGAGTATCATTGTAAAGACTGCGATTTTAAAACGGAACTAACGATTCTGTTCAAACAACACATTAATAATAATCACTGCTTTAAAAGCGAATCTGGGGACGATTTATCACTTCAGGACTTCAGTGTACAAAACTACGTTTGCAAAAAGTGCGATTTCGAAACAAATCTGTCGTTGAAGTGGTTTCAACATACTTCAGAATGCACGGGAAAAAAAGAAAATCTAGCAAGTGTGAGTTCTGTGAAACAGAATACAAATATTTTCCATTTCAAGAAAATTGATGGAAAACGTTGGTATTATTGTACGAAATGTTCCTACAAAGGTAAATATCAATCTGTTTTAAAATGTCATATGGCAAAACATGATTTAAACAAAAAGTATGCGTGTGATAAGTGTCCATTTAAAACCGTATATAAAGCAACTTTAAGAGATCACATAAAACGAAATCACTTAGACGAGCGAGATGTTGAATGGCACAAATGTGAAAAATGTCCTTTCAAAACTCTACGAAAAAGTAATTTAAAACATCATATGAGAAAACATGATTCAAACAAACAGTATGCATGTGATAATTGTCCATTTAAAACCATATGGAAATTAACTTTAAGAAATCACATAAAACGAAACCATTTAGACGAACGAGATGTTGAGTGGCACAAATGTGAAAAATGTCCTTACAAAACTGTAATAAAAAGTGATTTAAAAACGCACATAAACAACTTACACTTGAAAGAAGAAGAAGGTAAATGGTATCATTGCAATGAGTGTCCATATAAAACTAGGGCTAAATCTAGTTTAAAGAGTCACGCAAATTTCAAACACCTAGATGAAGAAAAAGTTACGTGGTATAAATGCGAACAGTGTCAATTTAAAACTAAGGACAAACAATCTTTAAGACGCCACGTGAATGTGATCCATTTAAAGAAACAAGATGCCGAAAGGTGTATGGATAAAAAGTGTTCATATAAAACCGTAAATTCGTTTAAGAAAGACGTTAAATCAAAAGAATGTAAATATTGCCCATACAAAACTAAATGGGGATCGAATTTAAAAAGGCATGTAATTTCTCTACATTTGGATGACAAAGAAATTAATTGGCACCAATGTGAGCAATGTCCGTACAGAAGTAAATTTTATTCAAAGTTGAAGAAACACAGAGATGTTAATCATTCAGAAGAACCAAAGACTTGCTTAAATCACCACTACATAAATCAGATGTTTTTTGATGGTATAAGTGCGAAAAATGTTCTTTTTAAAAATATTGTTTAAAAAGTCACATAAACAAATTACACTTGAAGGAAGGAGACATCAAATGGCATCAGTGTAATGAGTGTCCATTTAAAGCTAAACATTCATATCAATTAAAACGTCATGTAATCTGTAGACATTTGAATGAAGAAAAAATCAAGTGGTACGAGTGCGAATATTGTCCACAGGAAACGAAACTCAAGACTTATTTAACGTCTCATATGAATAGATGCCATTTTGGAAAAACGAAAATTGAATGATACAAATGCGATCAGTGTCTTAACAAAGAAAACTACTTAAGAAGAATTATATTTGTTTTAAGTTTTTGGTAGTAGCCTTTAAATATTTGTATCATCACATTTTGTATCTCGTGACTACTTTTTCATTATAATTTTAAAGTAAAAAAAAGTAACCAAGTGTTTTATTTTCCTCATTATAACTAGTTATTTAATACACAAGTGTAAAAACCGCCATAAATAGATTTCGAAAACTAATAATTAAAAAACTAAACACTATTAGCAATCTCGAGTAAGAAATTAAAGTGTATTTGACTTAGGGGCGCTTTTCCAAATTTGGGGTTCACCACTACGCATTAGAACGCATTCTACCAGAAAAAACACAACGTAGGGTTCCACTTTTGTTGGCGATCACAGTTCAAAGTCCAATTTTGAATTTTCCGCGGGTTTTAAAATTTATCGCGTTGCATAAAAATTTTGTTTGAATATTTCAACCTCGAGAAGTTATTTTTGGTTTCATTTCTTCGAAAATCTTACCATTTTCTAGAATCACCAGTTAGTACAATCGATACCGTGCACTTTGAGTAAGCAGCAATCTATTTTCTTTTTAATTCCATAGATAGGTCGGCCATAAATGTAGACACACAGTTATTAAACGAACGAGTTGGTTAATAAAGCCTATTAAAAAACGCCGAGATTGTTACCTAGCCATTATAAGCAACGTTTGAGTAAAAAACTAGTAAATAATAACATAACCTAATTCGAGTTAGGGATATTTGTTATTTTACCAAAATAAATCAACAGTTGGTGGATGTGCATCGAGTAATGGTTTCTGTAATTATTTCTGCTGTTAAATTATCATATTTACTACAGATTTTGTGTGTTTTAGGTGAAACGAAAACAATCTAATCTGCCTCGAATTGTATTTTTCAAAAAGTCACGTCCTTTTTGACATAAAAAGTTAGGTTAGAAGGTTAAAATGTCAACTTTGGAGTACTCCGAATTACTTCGAGGCTGGGGGAGATCTTCATGGAAAAACGTCCACAACTGCAAACGGTGTCCCTATTTTACAACTTCGGTTTTCTTTATGGCGAACCACGCGAAACGACACCGTTCATCTCTGGAAAAATGTACGTGCGAAAACGCCAAAATCGAAAAGTTTCATTGTAAAGACTGCGATTTTAAAACGGAACTGACGATTCTGTTCAAACAACACATTAATAAAAATCACGGTGTTAAAGTCGAATCTAGGGACAATTTATCATTGCAAGACTTCAGTGTGCAGACGTATGTTTGCGAAAAGTGCGATCTCGAAACAAATCTGTCATTGAAGTGGCTTCAACATACTTTAGAATGCATGCGAAAAAAAGAAAATCTAACAAGTGTGAGTTCATCAAAAGAAAATACTTTGTGTAGTTTCAAAGTCAAGCAAATTGACGGAAAACGTTGGTATTACTGTGCGCTCTGTTCCTACAAATCTAGAGATACAGGTAATTTAAAACGTCATTTGAGAAAACATGCTTTAAACAAACAATTTGAGTGTGATAAGTGTCCATTTAAAACCAGATATAATGGAAGTTTAAGAGATCACATAAAACGAAACCATTTAGACGAACAAGATGTTGAATGGCACAAATGTGAAAAATGTCCTTTCAAAGCTGTCCAAAAAAATGATTTAATTAGACACATAAACAACTTACATTTGAAAGAAGAAGAAGGTGAATGGTACCAATGCAATGAGTGTCCATACAAAAGTAGAATGAAATCTAATTTAAAAATTCACGTAATTTCAAAACATCTAGATGAAGAAAAAATTACGTGGTATAAATGCGAACAGTGCCAATATAAAACTAGGCGTAAAGGATGTTTAAGGAAACACATACATATCCATTTAAAAAAACAGAATGCCGAATGGTGGAGATGTAAAAAGTGTTCATTTAAAACTCTAAATTCGTTTCACTCGAACAATGAAGACGTTAATTCAAAAGAATGCAATCAGTGTCTGCTCAACAAAAATAAAGGGTACGAATGTAAGTATTGCCCATTCAAAACCAAATGGAAGTCGAGTTTAAATAAGCATGTAAATACTCTACATTTGGATGACAATGAAATTAAATGGTACCAATGTGACGAATGTCCATACAGAAGTAAATATAGTTCAGATTTAAAGAAACACACAGATGTTAATCATTCAGAAGAACCAAAATGGTATGAATGTGCAAAGTGTTCGTATAAAACTAAAATCAAAAACTATTTAACACGGCATGCACAGACTCATTTTGACATCAAACCCTATTAGTGCGAATATTGTCCATTAGTAATATTAAGTCAGTTGTGTACTGCAAGCTATGACTATTTTTTCATTAAAATTAAGAAAAAAACGAAATGTTTTATTTTCCATACGTACTTGATTCTATAGTCATTTGAGGTGAAACTTTACAAAACGCACCATTCGACTTCGCACAAGCTGTTTCCACAGAACTATTGCGCAGCACCTCCTCAACACGTTCCTAACCTTCAAATGTTGTGCAAATGACTCCTTGTGTCAGAAAAAAATATTTAGTGTTCGCACCCTGTATTTCCACCTAGGCTCAATATAGGCACCCAAATCCTCATTACACACGCAATTTAATTCGCACAGATTCTAACAACTAAATTATCCATGGAGCAAGAAGTTCCACGTTAAAGAGTATGTTTGTAATGGGGTGTTTTGTGAAATTTTACCAAATTTTATCACTGATATTTTCCCACTAGTGAGAGAAGCAGGATTTCCAGCAGTCAGTGATTCAAATGTCGAAATTTAATTGTAATTATATCATCAGCCAGATTATTGTTGAAGTTTTAGTAATGAGAGTTCTAGATTTTAAATTAATTAATATAACACTTATTTAATTTTTCTGTATCACTAATCTAAACGTGGCCACTAAAAAAAGTTTAGTTTAAAAAGGTCAATTTCAAATGTAAATATTTAAAATTTCGAGATTTAGTGGCTCGATGTTCGAAGTTCAGAAACATAATTCCCACGTTTGGGATTTCATCAGATTCTGCATTTGAATAAGATTCTTTAGTTTAACGATTTTTGTATTTTATCGTTACGAAAACCAAAATTCCAGAGCTCTCGGATGTTGAAATTTCGTAATTTTGAAGTTCCCGTATTTCCCGGATTTAAATATTCTGCAAAAATCTGAATGTACGAAATTCCCAGATTGTTTGAAGCCAGATTCGGTTGCCAAAATCTCGAATTTCCTTGAAAGTTCCAAGAAATTCAAAAAAGTTCAAATAATAGGTTTGAAAAATTGGAAATTCAATTTTTCAATTTGTTGAATTCAGAGTTGTATCTACAACCACAGTTATAATCGCCCTTGTATATATTCAAAATTTCGAGTTCGATAATTTTAGAAATTCAGAAGATTCGTAGTTCATGAACAAAATGTCTACATTTGAGGTTCCATCAAAATTTGTATTTGAATCTGGTTCTTAAATTTTCGTATTTTATGATTCGTAATTGCAAAATTCCGGAGTTTTCGGATTTCGAGGTTGAATTACAAAGATTCTAACTTCAGAAACAAAATTTACGCGTTTAAAGTTTCATCGGAATCTGTATTTGAATCGGGTTGTCAAAGGTTCGGATTTTATGATTTCCTAGGTAATTACAAAATTCCGGAGTTTTCGGATTTCGAGGTTTCATAATTTCGAAATTCCGCGATTTAAAAATTTTGAAAATTTCACTTCCCAGTTGTTTGATTTAAGATTTGCTAGCCGAAATTCCGATTTTCCAAAATATAAAACTTGGGAGTTTCGAGAAATTGACAAAATTTGAAGTGATAATAAGTTTAAAATATTCGAAATTCTATTTTCAAAAGTTGAAATTTTTCGGTTTATTGAATTCAAAGTTGAATAGAAAATTTATTCCTCATAACTTAAACTTTCAAAATTCAAAATTTCCGTAACCCAAGTTATCATCCCTGTAAATATTCAAAATTTCCAGTTTCAGTGATTAGAATCGGGTTCTCAAATTTTCGGATTTTATGATTTCCTAATTACAAAATTCCGGAGTTTTCGGATTTCGAGGTTTCATAATTTCGAAATTCCGGGATTTAATAGTTTTGAAAAATTTGAATGTTAGAAGTGCCCAGATTGTTTAAAAATTTCGACTTTACAAAGTTTAAAACTTGGAAATTTCAGGAAAGTCACAAAATTTGAAATAACAAGTTTAAAAAATTCGAAATTCAATTTTCAAAAGTTGAAATTTTCCAATTTATTGAATTCAAAGTTGTCTCTACAAAATGTATTCTTCATTACTTAGTATTTCAAAATTAAAAATTCCCCTAACCTATCGCTGTAAATATACAAAATTTCGACTTTCCGGGACTCGATAATTGTCGAAATTCAGAAGATTCGAAGTACAAAAACAGAACTTCCATTTAAGGTTCTATCAGAATCTGTATTTGAATCGGGTTCTTAAATTTTCGTAATTTATGATTTCGTAATTTCAAAATTCCGGGATTTAAAAGTTTTGAAAAATTTGATTGTTAGATATGCTCAGATTGTTTCATTTAAGATCTGCTTCCTAAAATTTCGATTTTCCAAAGTTTAAAACTTGGAAATTTCAGGAAAGTCACAAAATTTGAAATAATAGTTAGTCTAAAAAATTCGAAATTCAATTTTCAAAAGTTGAAATTTTCCAAATTACTGAATTCAAAGCCATCTCTACAAAATTTATTCTTCATAACTTCAACTTTCAAAATTCAAAATTGGTTTACAGAACCCAAGTTATAATCGTTCCTGTAAATATTCAAAATTTCGAGTTTCCGTGACCCCATAATTTTCAAAGTTCCGAAACAGAATTTCCACATTTAAGAAGGTTTCATCAGAATCTGCATTTGATTCGAGTTCTTAAATTTTCCTATTTTATGATTTCGTAATTACAAAATTCCAGAGTTTTCGGATTTCGAAGTTTCATAATTTCGACATTCCGGGATTTAAAAATTTTGAAAATTTGAATGTACGAAGTTCCTAGTTGTTTGCCAAAATTCCGATTTTCCAAAATCTAAAAGTTGGGAGTTTATTTTTCTAGAGAGTAGGCCCTTTGCCAAAATCAGTCTAATCATCACAAATACTAGCCCCGCCCACCCGCCCTTTGTTATCCTAGAGAATAGGTCCTACAGAATTGTCGATTTCAAATAGCTAGTTCTGAAGAGAACTGATTAAACAATTAGAAAACACTAAAAACAGAACGAAAACGGATGCGTAAAAATATCATGTTTCCCTGTGTTTATAACCCATTGACTTAAGAATTTTGTATAAGGTGGTTCGCCCCCCTTTAAATTCCAACTGTTCCCTAGAATATGCCAAAAGAGTATCTACAGTGAAATATTCATCAAGTTGCCAAATTTATCGTTGCAGGTCTTTCCGAAACATATAATTTGTAAATAAATCCGTTGGTTTTCGCTTACCAGATACTGAGGTTTTTAAATTTTGGTCCCCTGTTTATAAAATTTTCGCCACAGTTGATGTTCACACCAATGAGAAAAAATTAAAAAACTTCTTCGAAAGAAAGATCGGGCCTGTCTTTTCGAAACTGCAAAAAACATTTTTTTATTGCAATTTTTGTTACGGTAAAACTATTTTAGGGATTTTCTTTTTAAATAATGTCGCAGTGATCTGTGAATCTGTCACAATGACAAATTATCTATGCTGACAAAATTAAAACTTTTGTTTGCTTGATTAAAAAATTGCGTCTAATAATTCTGATCTAATAAATGAAGTAGAAAAGTGGCACTCCAGCTCAAAGCAAATGTCAATCAGACTACTGACAGGCAAAAAACTAAATCATCAAATCAGTTTAATTTTCGGAATTTACGTTTAACATTCCCTTTTCAACGTTTCGATATTTTAAATTTTAGATTTTTCGATTTCTCGATTTTTTAGTTTTTCAAACTAAAATTAAAAACAATAGCCAACATGTAGCAGTTGAAGTTACTAGGTAAGGGTATGTTCTTTTTATCAACATAACCTCAATAACTTCAACTAACCTAAATTAAAATCTGAAAAAATAATTTTTGTAATTATTGAAGCCGGAAAATGATTACACGTACTGTAAATTTACTGTGCTTCAGTTGAAACGCCAACAATCACGGTCTAATCAGCTCAAATTGTATTTTTCAAAAAATCGAAACGTCATTTTTCACGTGAAAAAGTTAGGTTAAAGTTGAAAGTTTTATAACCTTTTTGCAAGAGTCCTGGAAGGTTATTTTAGTAACCAAATTTGCATTCCCTACCCCAGTGTAATATTAATAAGACGTTTCAGGCAACCAAAATGTCAACTTTGGAGTATTCCGAATCACTTCGAGAATGGGGAAGATCGTCATGGAAAAACGTCCACAACTGTAAACTGTGTCCCTATTTTACAACATCGCTTTTTTTAATGGTGAACCACGTGCGACGGCACCGTTCATCTCAGGAAAAATATACGTGCGAAAACGCCAAAATTGAAGAGTATTATTGCAAAGACTGCGATTTTAGAACGGAACTAACGATTCTGTTCAGACAACACATTAATAAATATCACAGCTTTAAAATCGAATCTGGGGACGATTTATCACTTCAGGATTTCAGTGTGCAGAAGTACGTTTGCAAAAAGTGCGATTTGGAAACAAATCTGTCGTTGAAGTGGCTTCAACATACTTCAGAATGCATGGAAAAAAAAGAAAATCAAACAAGTGTGAGTTTTGTGAAAGAGAATACAAATATTTTCCATTTCAAGAAAGGTGACGGAAAACGTTGGTATTATTGTACGAAATGTTCCTACAAAGTTAGAAATAAAGCTAAGTTAAAATATCATATGGCAAAACATGATGTAAACAAACAGTATTCGTGTGATAAGTGTCCATTTAAAACCGGATATAAAGCAACTTTAAGAGATCACATAAAACGAAATCACTTAGACGAGCGAGATGTTGAATGGCACAAATGTGAAAAATGTCGTTTCAAAACTCTACGAAAAAGTGATTTAATTAGGCACGTAAACAACTTACATTTGAAAGAAGAAGAAGGTGAATGGTACGAATGCAATGAGTGTCCGTACAAAACTAGGAGTAAATGTAGTTTAAAGACTCACGTAATTTTAAAACATCTAGATGAAGAAAAAATTACGTGGTATAAATGTGAACAGTGCCAATATAAAGCTAGGCTTAAAGCATCTTTAAAAAGACACATCCAGAGTACCCACTCAGGAAACGACTTGAATGTAACCCATTTGAAAAAAAAAACACTAATAAATGGCATAAATTTGAAAAGTGTTCATTTAAAACTGAAAATTGTCAGCTCAACAAAAATAAGCGGTATGAATGTAAATATTGTCCATTCAAAACCGCGCGGAGTTGGAATTTCCAAAGGCATGTAATTTATCTACATCTGGGTGACAAAGAAATTAAATGGCGCCAGTGTGACAAATGTCCATACAGAAGTAAATTCAATTCACAATTAAAGAAACACAGAGATGTTAATCATTCAGAAGAACCAAAATGGTATGAATGTGCAAAGTGTTCGTATAAAACTAAAATAAAAAACCATTTAATACGGCATGTACCAATTCATTTTGATATCAAACCCTATCAGTGCGATTATTGTCCATATAAAACGAGCCGCAATTGTTATTTAAAGACCCACATAAATGAGCGCCACATAAATCAGATCTGTCCAGATGGTAAAAATGTTAAATGGTACAAGTGTGAGAAATGTTTTTTCAAATCTAGAAGAAAAGGTGGTTTAAAAAATCACATAACCAACTTACACTCGAATGAAGAAGACATCAAATGGCATCAGTGTAATGAGTGTCCATTTAAGGCTAAACATTCATATAAATTAAAACGTCATGTAATCTGTAAACATTTGAACAAAGAAAAAATCCAGTGGTACGAGTGCGAATATTGTCCACATAAGACGAAACTCAAGAGCTATTTAACGTCTCATATGAATAGATGCCATTTTGAAAAAACTGATACAAATGCGCTCGAAAAAAAAAACACAAATAGGAAGCAATTTACTTTAAGTTTGGTGAAGTAGTATTAAGTCGATTGTACACTTACAAGGAATTAGTTGTATTTTATGACTATTTCTTCATTAAAATTCAGAAACAAACTAAAAACGTTTTATTTTCCCGTCAAATAAATATAAAGCCTAAAAAAAAACATTTCCATAACAGCGATCTATCGTTTTTTAAGTTGATGGAGATGTGAACCCAAATTTGAATATAGTTATTAGTGGTTATTTAACAACCGAATTAAAAAAACGCCGAGATTGTTAACTAGCCATTAATAAGTGTAGTTTCTGAAATAATATTATTAATAAAAATGTTGTTATTGGAAAACTAGGGGAGTCGTGTATAACAAGTGTGGCCAATAGATACTAATCGAAGTTACTAACTAGTGATATTTTCTATTTGACAATACCTCAACCAACCTAACCTATAAAATGTGATAAATAATAATTTTTGTAATTATTTAAGCCGAAAAATGATTACATGTACTGTAAATTTACTGTGTTTTAGCTGAAACGAGTACAATCAGGCGCTAGCACCGTCTAATCCGCTCAAATCATTTGTCACGTGAAAATGTTAGGTTAAAAATCATAACCTCTTTGCAAGAGTCGTAGAAGGATATTTTGGTAACCAAATTTGCATTCGCTTCTGAAGTGTAATACTAATAAGACGTTTCAGGCAACCAAAATGTCAACTCTGGAGTATTCCGAATCACTTCAAGCCTGGGGAAGAACTTCATGGAAAAACATCCACAACTGCAAACTGTGTCCCTATTTTACAACATCGCTTTTCTTAATGGTGAATCACGTGCGACGACACCGTTCATCTCAGGAAAAATATACGTGCGAAAACGCCAAAATTGAAAAATATCATTGCAAAGACTGCGATTTTAAAACGGAACTAACGATTCTGTTCAAACAACACATTAATAAAAATCACAGCGTTAAAGTCGAATCTAGAGACGATTTATCACTTCTGGACTTCAGTCTACAAAACTACGTTTGCGAAAAGTGCGATTTCGAAACAAATGTGTCGTTGAAGTGGCTTCAACATACTTCAGAATGCATGGAAAAAAAAGAAAACCTAACATGTGTGAGTTTTGTGAAAGAGAATACAAATATTTTCCATTTCAAGAAAATTGACGGAAAACGTTGGTATTATTGTACGAAATGTTCCTACAAAGTTAGAAATAAAGCTCAGTTAAGATATCATATGGCAAAACATGATTTAAACAAACAATATGAGTGTGATAAGTGTCCCTTTAGAACCAAATGGAAAGGAAATCTAAGCAATCACATAAAACGAAAGCATTTAGATGAACGAGATGTTGAATGGCACAAATGTGAAAAATGTCCTTACAAAACTATAATAAAATGTCATTTAATTAGGCACATAACCAACTCACACTTGAAAGAAGAAGAAGGTGAATGGTTTCAATGCAGTGAGTGTCCATATAAAACTAGGGCTAAATCTAGTTTAAAGAGTCACGCATTTCTCAAACATCCAGATGAAAACAAAGTTACGTGGTATAAATGCGATCAGTGCCAATTTAAAACTAGGGTCAAAACATCCTTAAAACGCCACGTGAATGTGATCCATTTAAAGAAACAAAATGCCGAAAAGTGTATGGATAAAAAGTGTTCATATAAAACCGTAAATTCGTTTAAGAAAGACGTTAAATCAAAAGAATGCAACAAAAATAAGCGGTTTGAATGTAAATATTGCCCATACAAAACTAAATGGGGGTGGAATTTGCCAAGGCATGTAATTGCTCAACATTCAGATGGCAAAGAAATTAAATGGCACCAATGTGACAAATGTCCATACACAAGTAAATTTAAAGAAGGTTTGAAGAAACACGAAGATCATAAACATTCAGATGAAGCAAAGTGGTACAAATGTGCGAACTGTTCGTATAAAACAAAAATAAAAGACAAGTTAATACAGCATGTACATGTTCATTTTGACAGCTAACAATATCAGTTCGACTATTGTCCATGTAAAACGAAACGTACTTTTACTTGAAAGACTCATTTAAATAACCACCACATAAATCAGATGCTTCTTGATGGTAAAGATCTTAAATGGCATAAGTGTAACAAATGTTCTTTTAAAACTAGAAAAGAATATTGTTTAAAACGTCACATAAACACTTTACACTTGAACAAAGAAGACATGAAATGGCATCAGTGTAGTGAGTGTCCATATAAGGCAAAAAATGCGCATGGTTTAAAATGTCATGTCATTTGTAAACATTTGAGTGAAGAAAAAATCAAGTGGTACGAGTGCGAATATTGTCCACGTAAGACGAAATTCAAGAACCATTTAACGGATCATATGAATAGATGCCATTTGAAAAAAACAAAGACACAAATGCGGTCAGTCTCTTTACAAAAGGAAAATTGAATCATATTTTTATAAACACAAAAATGATGCAGAGAATTATATTTACTTTGGTTTTTTAGTAGTAGCGTTGAAATATGTGTATCAGCACTTTTTGTATATTGTGATTACTTTTTCATTATAATTTTAAATATAAAATAACATTGAGTGTTTGGTTGTACACAAAATATTAATAGCTGCCTCACCTTGCGACGAAATTCCGGTTGGACGGTCCGGAATATCGCCGATATCAGAAACACGTCTGGCCGACCAAGCTTATGCGGCGACCTTCACGCCTTCGGTCAGGAGCGGGGTGCTCTAAAGCCGGAGACACGGAATTCAGGTGGTGAGCGCCCGCTAAAACTTCCTATTTTCTTCCCCATCCTCATTTTTTGTAAAGACCAATCTACAGTCAACGAACAAAACTGCTTGCAACGCGGAGTTAATTGTGACGGTCTTGTTGCATCCACCCTGCACATAATCATATAATAATTATATGATCTAAGCTTAAAACACCTTTCAATTGTTTATAAATCGAAAATCTTTGTAAAACGCGATCTACTGTTTTTTAAGTTCATAGTGATGTCAAACAAAAGTATGAATATGGGTATTATTAGTTATTTAACGACGCAGTTGGTTAATGAACACTATTAAAAAAACGCTGAGATTGTTAACTAGCCACAAGTGTAGTTTCTGGAATAATATTATTAATAAAAATTTTAAAATGTTGTTTTCGGAAAACTAGTAGGGCACTAGGGGACTCATTTAACAAGTGTAGCCAATAGATACCAATTGAAGTTACTAACTAGGGATATTTTCAATTTGACCTAACCTTTAAAATGTGAACAAATAATAATTTTTGTACATAATTAAGCCGGAAAATGATTACATGTACTGTAAATTTACCGTGCTTTAGTTGAAACGCCAACAATCACGGTCTAATCAGCTCAAATAGTATTTTTCAAAAAATCGAAACGTCATTTTTCACGTGAAAAAGTTAGGTTAAAGATGAAAGTTTTATAACCTTTTTGCAAGGGTCCTGGACGGATATTTTGGTAACCAAAGTTGCATTCGCTTCCCCAGTGTAATACTAATAAGACGTTTTAGGCAACCAAAATGTCGACTTTGGAGTATTCCGAATCACTTGGAGCCTGGGGAAGATCTTCATGGATAAACATCCACAACTGCAAACGGTGTCCCTATTTTACAACATCGGTTTTCTTAATGGTGAACCACGTGCGACGACACCGTTCATCACAGGAAAAATATACGTGTGAAAACGCCAAAATTGAAGAGTATTATTGTAAAGACTGCGATTTTAGAACGCAACTAACGATTCCGTTCAAACAACACATTAATAAAAATCACGGTGTTAAAGACGAGTCTAGAGACGATTTATCACTTCAGGACTTCAGTGTACGAAATTACGTTTGCGAAAAGTGCGATTTTGAAACAAATTTGTCGTTGAAGTTTCTTCAACATACTTCAGAATGCATGGGAAAAAAAGAAAATCTAACAAGTGTGAGTTCTGCGAAAGAGAATGCAAATATTTTCCATTTCAAAAAAATTGACGGAAAACGTTGGTATTATTGTACGAAATGTTCCTACAAAGTTAGAAATAAAGCTAATTTAAAATGTCATATGAGTAAACATGATTTAAACAAACAATATGTGTGTGATGAGTGTCCATTTAAAACCAAATGGAAAGGAAATCTAACCAGTCACATAAAACAAAACCATTTATTAGAGGAACGAGATGTTGAATTGCACAAATGTGAAAAATGTCCTTACAAAACTGTAATAAAAAGTCGTTTAACTAGACACATAAACAACTCACACTTGAAAGAAGATGAAGGTAAATGGTATCATTGCAATGAGTGTCCATATAAAACTAGGGCTAAATCTAGTTTAAAGAGTCACGCAATTGTAAAACATGGAACGTGGCACAAATGCGAACAGTGCGAATTTAAAACAAGGGACAAAAGATCTTTAAGCCACCACGAGAAAGTGGTGCATTTAAAGAAACAAAATGCTGAAAAGCGTAAATCATTTAAAACCGAAAATTCGTTTCACTCGAACAATGAAGACCTCAAAAATAAGTGCTACGAATGTAAATATTGCCCATTCAAAACTAAATTAGGGTGGTATTTAAAAAAACACGTAATTTCGCAACATTTGGATGACAAAGAAATTAAATGGCACGAATGTGACAAATGTCCGTTCAAAACTAAAATTAATTCAACTTTAAAGAAACACAGAGATGTTCAGCATTCAGAAGAAGCAGAGTGGTATGAATGTACCAAGTGTTCGTATAAAACGAAAATAAAAAGCAGTTTAATACGCCATGTACAGGTTCACTTTGATATCAAACCATATGAGTGTGAATACTGTCCATATAAAACCAAACGTCGTTGTTATTTAAAGATTCATATAAGTAAGTGCCACAAAAAGCAGACCTATTCAGATGGCAAAGATGTTAAATGGTACAAGTGTGAAAAATGTTGCTTCAAAACTAGAGGAAAATTTTGTTTAAAAAGTCACATAACCAACTTACACTTGAATGAAGAAGACATCAAATGGCATCAGTGTAATGAGTGTCCATATAAGGCAAAACATGCTTATCGTTTAAAACTTCATATGATTTGTAAACATTTGAATGAAGAAGAAATCAAGTGGTACGAGTGCGAATATTGTCCACATAAGACGAAACTCAAGAACTATTTAACGAATCATATGAATACATGTCATTTAAAAAAAACCGACACTAATAATGCAAATGCGATCATTGTCCTTACAAAAGCAAATTTATATAATTTCTTTATAAACACAAAGAAAAATGACATAAATATGATTTAATTTAGTTTGGTGTAGAGTGAGTGGTATTAAGTGTATTGTATACATGCATTACGGTTTTGTGTTTAAAGAAATTTGCTGTATTTTATGACGATTTTTTCATTAAAATTGAAAAAAAACTAAACTTATTCTCCACGTTAAATAAATATAATGCCTCAAAAAAAAAAAATTCCGTAACACGTATATGCGAACCATCGAATTTCCTCAATGATGTCATCAGGTCATACATGTACGCTTATTAGCATCACAGTGTTTGTTATTTTATTATCTAATCGATCGAAAATTGGTGTGAAATTGTAGATAATCTTCCGCTAGTTACGATTTTCAAATCGCCGTCGCGATATCTGGTCTAATAAACACGCAAATTGAGTTCAAAAATTCCAAAAATTTTCCAAAAAAGTGGTTAAAATTGGTTTAATTGACCCAAAATTGGTGTCAAATTGTAGATAATCTTCCGCTAGTTACGATTTCGAAATCGCCGTCCCGATATTTGGTCTAACGAACACGCGAAGTGAGTTCAAAACTTCCAAAAATTTTCCAAAAACGTGATTAAAATTAGTTTAATCGAACCAAAATTGTTGTCAAATTGTAGAAAATCTTGTGCTATTTACGATTCTGAAATCGCCATCCCGATATCTGGTCTAACGAACACGAAAAGTGAGTTCAAAATTTCCAAAAATTTTCCAAAAACGTGATTAGAATTAGTTTAATCGACCCAAAATTGGTGTCAAATTGTAGAAAATCTTGTGCTATTTACGATTCTGAAATCGCCATCCCGATATCTGGTCTAATGAACACGCGAAGTGAGTTCAAAATTTCCAAAAGTTTTCCAAAAACGTGATTAAAATTAGTTTAATCGACCCAAAATTGGTGTCAAATTGTAGAAAATCTTGTGCTATTAACGATTCTGAAATCGCCATCCCGATATCTCGTCTAACGAACACGAAAAGTGAGTTCAAAATTTCCAAAAATTTTCCAAAAACGTGATTAAAATTAGTTTAATCGACCCAAAATTGGTGTCAAATTGTAGAAAATCTTGTGCTATTTACGATTCTCAAATCGCCGTCGCCATATCTGGTCTAATAAACACGCAAATTGAGTTCAAAAATTCCAAAAATTTTCCAAAAAAGTGCTTAAAATTGGTTTAATTGACCCAAAATTGGTGTCAAATTGTAGATAATCTTCCGCTAGTTACGATTCCGAAATCGCCATCCCGATATTTGGTCTAACGAACACGCGAAGTGAGTTCAAAATTTCCAAAAATTTTCCAAAAACGTGATTAAAATTAGTTTAATCGACCCAAAATTGGTGTCAAATTGTAGAAAATCTTGTGCTATTTACGATTCTGAAATCGCCGTCCCGATATCTGGTCTAATAAACACACAAAGTGAGTTCAGAGTTTCCAAAAAAGTGGTTAAAATTGGTTTAATCGACCGAAAATTGGTGTCAAATTGTAGATAATCTTCCGCTAGTCACGATTCTGAAATGGCCGTCCCGATATCTGGTCTAATAAACACGCAAAATGAGTTCAAAATTTCCAAAAATTTTCCAAAAAAGTGGTTAAAATTGGTTTAATCGCCCCAAAATTGGTGTCAAATTGTAGATAATCATGTGCTAGTTACGATTCTGAAATCGGCCTCCCGATATCTGGTCTAATAAACATGCAAAGTGAGATCAAAATTTCCAAAAATTTTCCAAAAAAGTGGTTAAAATTGGTTAAATCGACCCAAAATTGGTGTCAAATTGTTGATAATCCTCTGCTAGTTACGATTCTGAAATGGCCGTCCCGATATCTGGTCTAATAAACACGCAAAGTGAGTTCAAAATTTCCAAAAATTTTCCAAAAAACTGGTTAAAATCCGTTTAATCAACCCAAAATTGGTGACAAATTGTAGAAAATCTTCTGCTAGTCGCGATTCTGAAATCGCCGTCCGGATATCTGGTCTAATAAACATGCAAAGTGAGTTCAAAATTTCCAAAAAAGTGGTTAAAATTGGTTAAATCGACCCAAAATTGGTGTCAAATTGTTGATAATCCTCTGCTAGTTACGATTCTGAAATCGCCGTCCCGATATCTGGTCTAATAAACACGCTAAGTGAGTTCAAAATTTACAAAAATTTTTCAAAAAAGTGGTTAAAATTTGTTTAATCGACCCAAAATTGGTGTCAAATTGTAGATAATCTTCCGCTAGTTACGATTCTGAAATCGCCGTCCCGATATCTGGTCTAATAAACACGCAAAATGAGTTCAAAATTTCCAAAAATTTACCAAAAAAGTGGTTAAAATTGGTTTAATCGACCCAAGATTGATGTGAAAATGTAGATAATCTTCGGCTAGTTACGATTCTGAAATCGCCCTTCCGATATCTAGTCTTATAAACACGCAAATTGAGTTCAAAATTTCCAAAAATTTTCCAAAAACGTGATTAAAATTAGTTTAATCGACCCAAAATTGGTGTCAAATTGTAGAAAATCTTGTGCTATTTACGATTCTGAAATCGCCGTCCCGATATCTGGTCTAATAAACACACAAAGTGAGTTCAGAGTTTCCAAAAAAGTGGTTAAAATTGGTTTAATCGACCGAAAATTGGTGTCAAATTGTAGATAATCTTCCGCTAGTCACGATTCTGAAATGGCCGTCCCGATATCTGGTCTAATAAACACGCAAAATGAGTTCAAAATTTCCAAAAATTTTCCAAAAAAGTGGTTAAAATTGGTTTAATCGCCCCAAAATTGGTGTCAAATTGTAGATAATCATGTGCTAGTTACGATTCTGAAATCGGCCTCCCGATATCTGGTCTAATAAACATGCAAAGTGAGTTCAAAATTTCCAAAAATTTTCCAAAAAAGTGGTTAAAATTGGTTAAATCGACCCAAAATTGGTGTCAAATTGTTGATAATCCTCTGCTAGTTACGATTCTGAAATGGCCGTCCCGATATCTGGTCTAATAAACACGCAAAGTGAGTTCAAAATTTCCAAAAATTTTCCAAAAAACTGGTTAAAATCCGTTTAATCAACCCAAAATTGGTGACAAATTGTAGAAAATCTTCTGCTAGTCGCGATTCTGAAATCGCCGTCCGGATATCTGGTCTAATAAACATGCAAAGTGAGTTCAAAATTTCCAAAAAAGTGGTTAAAATTGGTTTAATTGACCCAAAATTGGTGTCAAATTGTAGATAATCTTCCGCTAGTTACGATTCCGAAATCGCCGTCCCGATATCTGGTCTAATAAACACGCTAAGTGAGTTCAAAATTTCCAAAAATTTACCAAAAAAGTGATTAAAGTTGGTTTAATCGACCCAGAATTGCTGTCAAATTGTAGATAATCTTGTGCTAGTTACGATTCTGAATTCGCCCTTCCGATATCTAGTCTTATAAACACGCAAAATGAGTTCAAAATTTCCAAAAATTTACCAAAAAAGTGATGAAAGTTGGTTTAATCGACCCAGAATTGCTGTCAAATTGTAGATAATCTTGTGCTAGTTACGATTCTGAATTCGCCGTCCCCGATATCTGGTCTAATAAACACGCAAAATGAGTTCAAAATTTTCAAAAATTTACCAAAAAAGTGGTTAAAATTGGTTTAATCGACACAAAATTAGTGTCAAATTGTAGATAATCTTGTGCTAGTTACGATTCTGAAATCGCCGTCCCGATATCAGGTCTAATAAACACGCAAAGTGAGTTCAAAATTTCCAAAAATTTTCCAAAAAAGTGGTGAAAATAGAGTTAATCGAACGAAAATTGGTGTCGAATTGTAGATTATCTTCCGCTAGTTACGATTCTGAAATCGCCGTCCCGATATCTGGTCTAATAAACACGCAAAGTGAGTTCAAAATTTCCAAAAATTTTTGAAAAAAGTGGTTTTGAATTGGTTTAATCGCCCCAAAATTGGTGTCAAATTGTAGATAATCTTCTGCTAGTTACGATTCTGAAGTCGCCGTTCTGATATCTGGTCTAATAAACACGCAAAGTGAGTTCTAAATTTCCAAAAATTTTCCAAAAAAGTGGTTAAAATTGGTTAAATCGACCCAAAATTAGTGTCAAATTGTTGATAATCCTCTGCTAGTTACGATTCTGAAATGGCCGTCCCAATATCTGGTCTAATAAACACGCAAAGTGAGTTCAAACTTTGCAAAAATTTTCCAAAAAAGTGGTTAAAATTCGTTTAATCGACCGAAAATTGGTGTCAAATTGTAGATAATGTTCCGCTAGTTACGATTTTTAAAACACCTCTCAAAACTGCCGAGAATATTAACTAGCCATTAACATTTTCAGAAATAGTTTTATTAATAAATACGTTGTTATCGGGAAATTAGTGGACTCATTTAACAAGTGTAGCCAATAGATACCAATTTAAGTTACCAACTAGGGATATTTTCTATTGTGATTTTCTATTTGACAGTACCTCACCTAACCTAACCTTTAAAATGTGAACAAATAATAAATTTTGTAATTATTTAAGCCGGAAAATGATTACGTGTACTGTGAATTTATTGTGCTTTAGCTGAAACGTGAACAATCACGCCCTAACACCGTCTAATCTGGTCAAATTATACTGTTGAAGTCATTTTTTGCTTGAGAATGTTAGGTTAAAGTTTCATAACCTTTTTGTAAGAGTCGTGGACGGATATTTTGGTAACTAAAATTGCATTCCCTTCCCCAGTGTAATACTAATAAGACGTTTTAGGCAACCAAAATGTCAACTTTGGAGTATTCCGAATCTGTTCGACCATGGGGAAGATCTTCATGGAAAAACGTCCACAACTGCAAACTGTGTCCCTATTTTACAACATCGGTGTTCTTTATGGTGAACCACGTGCGACGACACCGTTTATCTCAGGAAAAATATACGTGCGAAAACGCCAAAATCGAAGAGTATCATTGTAAAGACTGCGATTTTAAAACGGAACTAACGATTCTGTTCAAACAACACATTAATAAAAATCACGGTGTTAAAGACGAATCTATGGACGATTTATCACTTCAGGACTTCAGTGTACGAAATTACGTTTGCGAAAAGTGCGGTTTTGAAACAAATTTGTTGTTAAAGTGGGGTGAACATACTTCAGATTGCAGGGGAAAAAAAGAAAATCTAGCAAGTGTGAGTTCTGTGAAAGAGAATACAAATATTTTCCATTTCAAGAAAATTGACGGAAAACGTTGGTATTATTGTACGAAATGTTCCCACAAATCTAGACATAAAGGTAATTTTAAACATCATATGAGTAAACATGATTTAAACAAACAGTATGTGTGTGATAAGTGTCCATTTAAAACCAAATGGAAAGGAAATCTAAGCAGGCACATAAAACAAAACCATTTATTAGAGGAACGAGATGTTGAATGGCACAAATGTGAAAAATGTCCTTACAAAACTGTAGTCAAAAGTCGTTTAACTGTACACATAAACAACTTACACTTGAAAGAAGAAGAAGGTAAATGGTATCATTGCAATGAGTGTCCATATAAAACTAGGTCTAAAGTTAGTTTAAAGAGTCACGCAAATTTCAAACATGGAACGTGGCACAAATGCGAACAGTGCGAATTTAAAACAAGGGACGAAAGATCTTTAAGCCACCACAAGAAAGTGGTGCATTTAAAGAAACAAAATGCTGAAAAGCGTGAATCATTTAAAACCGAAAATTCGTTTCACTCGAACAATGAAGACCTCAAAAATAAGTGCTACGAATGTAAATATTGCCCATTCAAAACTAAATGGGAGTGGCATTTAAAAAAACATATAATTTCGCAACATTTGGATGACAAAGAAATTAAATGGTACCAATGTGACAAATGTCCGTTCAAAACTAAAATTAATTCAAGTTTAAAGAAACACAGAGATGTTCAGCATTCAGAAGAAGCAGAGTGGTATGAATGTGCCAAGTGTACGTATAAAACGAAAGTAAGAGGCAGTTTAATACGGCATGTACAGGTTCATTTTGACATCAAACCATATAAGTGTGAATACTGTCCATATAAAACCAAACGTCGTTGTTATTTAAAGATTCATATAAGTAAGCTCCACAAAAAGCAGACCTATTCAGATGGCAAAGATGTTAAATGGTACAAGTGTGAAAAATGTTCTTTCAAAACTAGAAGAAAATATTGTTTAAAAGGTCACATAACCAACATACACTTGAATGAAGAAGACATCAAATGGCATCATTGTAATGAATGTCCATATAAGGCAAAACGTTCATATCAATTAAAACGTCATGTAATCTGTAGACATTTGAATGAAGAAGAAATCAAGTGGTACGAGTGCGAATATTGTCCGCATAAGGCGAAACGCAAGGACTATTTAACGAATCATATGAATACATGTCATTAAAAAAAAACTGACGCTAATAATGCAAATGCGATCAGTGTCCTTACAAAAGCAAATTCATATAATTTCTTTATAAACACAAAGAAAAATGACATAAATATGATTTAATTTAGTTTGGTGTAGAGTGAGTGGTATTAAGTGTATTGTATACATGCGATTACGGTTTTGTGTTTAAAGAAATTTGCCTTATTTTATGACAATTTTTTCATTAAAATTGAGAAAAAACTAAACTTCTTATTCTCCACGTTAAATAAATATAATGCCTCAAAAAAAATATATTTCCGTAACACGTATATGCGAACCATCAAGTTTCCTCAATGATGTCATCAGGTCATACATATACGCTTATTAGCATCACAGTGTTTGTTATTTTATTATCTAATCAATCGAAAATTGATATCAAATTGTAGATAATCTACAGCTAGTTACGATTCTGAAATCGCCGTGCCGATGTCTGGTCTAATAAACACGCAAAGTGAGTTCAAAATTTCAAGAAATTTTCCAAAAAAGTGGTTATAATTGGTTTAACCGACCCAAAATTGGTGTCAAATTGTAGATAATCTTCAGCTAGTTACGATTCTGAAATCGCCGTCCCGATATCTGGTCTAAAAAACACGCAAAGTGAGTTAAAAATTTCCAACAATTTTCCAAAAAAGTGGTTAAAATTGGTGTCAAATTGTAGAGAATCTTCTGCTAGTTACGATTCTGAAATCGCCGTGCCGATGTCTGGTCTAATAAACACGCAAAGTGAGTTCAAAATTTCCAAAAATTTTCCAAAAAAGTGGTTAAAATTGTTTTAATCGACCCAGAATTGGTGTCAAATTGTAGATAATAAGAATAAGAATAAGTTTATTGCACAACTAGAGCAGCGTACAAAAAGTTAGAATGCAGGCTAACCCTGATACTAAAACGATTCTGACTCATACCTACACACATTAAACATACAATATACAATTAGAATACGTAAATACGTAAAATAAATAAAACAACCTAACAAACATAGTCAAACTTAAAATCGACGAACATTAACATTTATGTCGTGACCATTTAAAATATCAGACTTAATTCTCTTTTTGATACAAGAACTGGATGCATTTAAATATAAAAAAAAATATTGTTAATATGTGATGCTAAGTAGGAGAAAGACGACTGAAACTTTGCAGTTCTGTGAACAGGAATTGTTAAGTTTGATGGATTATGAATAAGAGCAGCGGACAGTCGTTTTATAGTTTTATTAAATAAATAACAAGTGTGTTCTAGAGCGAGTATGATATTATGACCGTTAGGTCCAGAGATTGAAGACTATGTTAACCGCTTGAAGAGTGCTTGAAGAGTGAATGATGAATAGTGAATGATGTTCCCTGTGTTTCAAGGTGGTGGTGGCCCTGGCCCCACCCTTACGGGTGGAGAGGGGTGAAACAGGTCCCCGCCAGAGGCACTAACATACCCCCCGCCTTGAAACAATTACATTGTTTTAATACCAAATAATAGAATGTTAGAGTGATAACATGATATCATAATGATCAATTCAAATGAGAATACATGAGTAAGATTTACTACAATTAACATTGTATAGAATGGATTAACAGTGATTATCCAATATGGGTAGTAAACTAAGAATAGCGATTTACAACAAGTTGCCCACATACAATAAGAATGAATGTAATTTATAGGTACTTGGAATACACCAGAAAGAGAGATTTACAACTCTTTATCAGGTACAATACGAGTGGACAAACTTTATTTACAATAGTGTGTAGATAACCAGAACCCGAATTAGTAAATGGACAAGCCGTTTCCGAATAGGCGCACTTTATGATGCAATTTCGACACTGCACTACGCGAACAAGATCGTCTTTGCCGCGATGCACTTGCACTATTCGTTGTAATAGCCACCGCAACGGGTGCCGGTTGTCTTCTTTGATCGGTAGTACCAGCGCTCCAGTGCCGGGCACGTTTCTTGAGAGGGTTTGCCACCTGGATCTCCCCTGCAGCGTCGTATGATATTCCACTGACCAGCGCTTCCAAAAATGTTGGCGGCAGGATTCACTCAATTGCCAACGGGAAAGCATATTGACAGGAGTGTGGTCCTTTTCTATTGGAGTTGTCAATGGATGGCCAACGAGACAATGTCCCGGAGTCAGTGCGGCTAACTTCGTAACGTCGCTGGAAAGCGGCGTCACAGGGTGCGAATTCAGGACAGCTTCAATCCTGACCAAAAGCGCATGCATCACCTCGTACGTTAGATGGTTGTATCCGATAATGAGCTGGATGTGAGTTTTTACGAATTTAATCCACGCTACCCACAAACCACCAAAATTGGGCCCACGCGGGGGAATTAAAGTACATTGGATGTATTCTGGTTTTAGCTTATTCTGAAATTCTTTCCCTAATAGCAATTCGCTTAGCTTGCGCTTAGTACTTACGAAATTTGTGACGTCGTGAGAGTGAAGCCAAACGCACCGGTACATTTTCGATACGTCGCATGTGAGGACATGAATTAACGTAGTTAAAAGTTCGGGTTGAAAAACGGGGCCGGTTAATAAGTTGTCATTTAGGCTTAAATTGTTTGAGCTAAGATTTGAACGGTCAACAACCTCGCAGCGTTTAATGGAAGAAATGTAGGGATTGTAAAGACAATTGTGTGGCAGGTAACTAGGATTATTTAAAGAATTTCCGTTAAGTACCTTCAGGTGTACAAGGTCTAGGTACTTCCTTAGAAAGATAATAAAACCCTCGGTCAGTTTATGATTACGACCCTCTGCGGACCATAACGGTTGGAGAACCCCTTCTAGGGAATTTCTTAATTGAGGTGGATTTTTGAAATAAGGGACGGTGGAACGACCCAACTTTTGCGAAAAGAGGAGTTTAATTACGAAACGACCATCGGGTGAATGGCCGCTGGTATTTTGAAAAGGGGTTGCACAAAGAGAGGTTTTAAAACCTTTGCTTAATAACCCGCTTCCGGTTTTGACGGTTTCAACTTCCAAGAAATGAGAAATAATTTTGCTCAAACTAATCTTGCGATGACGGGAATTTCTTAAATGCCCAAAACTGCCATTAAGAATCAACCCCAGCGCGGTATTTTGAAGCGCCGGTGGATTTTTCATAAAATGATTTTGTATTTTAAGTTCGGCATTTTCTGAATGTTTGTTCTTATCAAGAATTGCTACGATTGACGTATCGATGCTATGAATATGTAATTCCACAGACTTGCCCAAATTTTCGGTGATGAATTGAGATTGACTCCCGATATCCAAGAAAACGCGACATTCTTTTACTTTACCTGATTGGCCCATTACGCGAATCAAACCGGTGGATAAAAGTACACTAGACGGAATAGCTAAATTACATTTCGAGGTGTCTTCAGGATTATCGGAATCCTCATCTGGTTTATTTTTGATTTCATTCTTGGGAAGGTTTGTTTCTGTGTGCAAAAGCGTGTGGTGCTTCTTATGACATTGTTTACAACGCCTAGATATGTAACAATTTTTCGCGACGTGATTACTTCTTAAACAATTGAAGCAACGATTCATTTTCTTTATTTGTTCCACTCTATCGTTGGGCGTTAAACTTGAAAAATTTGTACAATTGAATATGTTGTGCATTTGGGAACATATAAAACACGGGATTGATTGATTATTGCTTACTTGTACCTTGTTTGTGTTTGATCTTAATGATTTACCCAAATATTTGGTTTTGGATTCACATTGTTTACCGGTATCCAATAATGAGCTACAATCTTTCAAATTATCTGTATGATTTTTTATTGGAACTAACGCGGTGTCTGATTTTGGATTGGATGTGCTATCTATTTTAGTTTGGGACATGCCCACAGAGTTGCAAGAATTATTATCAGGATGATTTTTCGGTTTGTTGGATATTGAATTTGATAATAATTTGTGAGAATTCGGTATTAACTTATGCGTTTCTGAAATAATGACTTTTTTGTTGTCGATAGTTTTATAATTAATGAATAGTGCAGGGGTAAACCGCACCTTAACTGGAGCATTGGTAGACTTATGAAGTTTAATGGGTTCTCCATTTAGCATGTTGTCCACTTTTATGGGTTTTAGATTTTCACAACGTTTTTCGAGATGAGCATTGTTAGTATTTACATTAAACGAATTCGGGAAAGGAAGATGATACAACAAATCGGCTTTTTTGATTAGAGCAGTATATAATTCCGATATTTCATGGATATAGGTTTGCACGGGTCCGAGATTATAAACTGCGGGTTTGTTAGATTCTTCGCTACTCGTGTCATCTAAAAATACCACGATTTCCGATTTATGTTCAACTATAAGATTTTGTACGTTAGATTGTACCCGTTTCAAATCTTCCAACCTGCATCTTAACTCGCCTATTTTTTGGTGGTTTGTAACTTCCGAGATGAACTCCGCATGTGAATGTATATCATTAACAAGAACGATAAATTTCCAGAGAGATTCGTTATTCGACATCGTCAGTACGAGAATAATGAACTACGCAAAATGGACAAAACTAAAGCCTACCTGAGTTTCTTGATGAATGACCCTCGATGATTTGCACTGCACTCGCGGCCGTTACCGATTTTTGAATACTTGATGATTTAGGTGGAATGTTGAATTCCAAGCCACGATGATTTATCGAACTACACTTATCACTTATCACTGTTACTGATTTACTGTCGCTGATCCGGCTCGAAGGACCATGTTAAGTTTGATGGATTATGAATAAGAGCAGCGGACAGTCGTTTTATAGTTTTATTAAATAAATAACAAGTGTGTTCTAGAGCGAGTATGATATTATGACCGTTAGGTCCAGAGATTGAAGACTATGTTAACCGCTTGAAGAGTGCTTGAAGAGTGAATGATGAATAGTGAATGATGTTCCCTGTGTTTCAAGGTGGTGGTGGCCCTGGCCCCACCCTTACGGGTGGAGAGGGGTGAAACAGGTCCCCGCCAGAGGCACTAACAGGAATCTCGAGTCGTTGATCAACATGTCTTAAGTCTCTTATATTTATTTCATTTCTTTTAATCATTTTAGCAAAAAGATATTCAGGAACATGAGTTTCTAGAATCTTTTTAATGAAATTTACGTAAAGTAAGAAACGCTGTTCATTTAGCTTAAGTTCTTTTAAAAGTTTTATATATGGTGATTAAATGTTGAAATCTCGGTACGTTAATAATAAATCTCACACAACTATTTTGAATTTTTTGTAGTTTGATTTTGTCATACTCCGACAGACACGGACCATAGACTTGTGTACAAAAATTTAAGTTAGACAATACTATTGATTTAACTAAAATGAGTTTAGTGTCCTGATCTAAAGATTGTCTGAGAGGAGCAAGCTGCTTTAGTTGAAAATTACTTGAACGCCATAATGTAGAAACATGTTGTGAAAAATTCAGACATGAATCAAGGATTACACCTAAATTTTTAACAACACTTTCACAGGGAATTTGTTGTTCGTTAATGACTAAATTAAGATGAATGTTTGCCGTTAAAGTAGAGGAACCGAATATTATATTTTTACATTTTTTAGTGTTTAAATAAAAAGAATTGCAAGCAGTCCATTGAAAAATTTCTGCCAAATCTTCATTAATC